GGAAAATCGAAGAAAAAGGAGGAAAGACGGGGCGAAGAAAAAGAAGGCATCGCGCGTGAGACGCGGAACAGCAAAGCTAAACAGAGTCATTCGCGGCGGATCGTTTGATGTGAGTAACGAAATCGTAAGATTGGATTAGGCATCATCCGCGTTTTGTCGGTTATCTGTACGAGAACGGAGATCGAAGTCAATATCCCTTCCGAGATGAATTAAATTTTTAAACGCTGAAAGATGCACCGCGCAATCACAAGTAAACGCAGAGATTACTTGTGTTTATCGAAATTTCAGATTACTTACTACAATATTATTGTCTAATTACTACCTAATTTTTTAATTAATAATTTTCTAATTAACGAAAATGATCGGGTTTATTCCGTATCCGAGTTCGTTCGGAGTTTTACGTTGTCCTTCCTTATCCAAACCATAAGGAAAACGTAACGCCTTCGCGAAGAAATCCGTCTTTCTCTCCGCCGCTTTTCTTTTTTCTTATACAAATATATGGTGGATTTATTTTATTTGCAGAAATATAATGTGATGCAACCGAAAAGAACAGTTTCCCGGTCGACGCTCCGCGCGAAATATTCAATCCCGCCGGCAAGGAATCCTTCTCGTCTGATGGCCGTTTTTCTCTGATTGAAGGAATTAATGGGTGCCCAAGTGCCTACGGGGAAATCCTGCGAGTCGCACCGAAATTCCCAAGGGGAACAGTCGGGTCAACCGGAAGTCAAGGCCACGCGGTCAATCGCCCCGTGATCCGTCGCCGTTATAAATAGATACCGTCGCCCTGGTATGGTATCTGCATATCTGCCATTTGTACATCGCATACCGCAAAACTCGAATACACCCTGCGAATATCACTTTTTTTATACAAACATGTTGAAGACGCGTTAATTTTTCTTAAATAACCATTTCCGAAGCGTATTGCTCTGTGCCTTTAGACATTTCCTTTTAAATTATTAATTAATTGCGAATATGAGAGTGATTGAATGTGTCGTTTTTAATGACAACTTCATATATATATATATATATCTTGTGCACACCCTTCGTACACATATATCGATCAGCGACTCTCGCAGCTCGAATGCTGCGAAAATGTTTCCATTAGCGTAATTAATCGGGAGGGGGCCGCGTGGCCGTGTTTTGTGTTTGTTTTTCAAGAATCACTTCGGGCCAACCCTTTCAATTTTGCCCAATTCCCTCCCGACAAAGCTCATGCACAGGATTTACCTGGTAATTTGCATACCATTAAAGCGACCGCATCGTCCCACCGCATGATGGTGGCGTTTCGGTTTGACGTTGTATCGGATGGCACAGAGAGCATCGGCGATTCAATCATCTTAATTATCCGCAACGATGCATTATTTTCCGTCCTATTTGCACTGTTTATCTGGAAATGCGGCATTCATTATCTGAAACAAGAGAAAAGTGAAATGTTAATATCATGATTGGCGTTTCAATTTAACGACAGTGTCTTTCATCTATTTGTCAATTAAACGTTAAATTTTCTACACTAATATTCATTTCCGATATGTTAATATACATATCTTTTCTTAAATACGACTTAATATATAGAGTCACTTTTTCTACATTAAAACGTTATCATCGAGCAAAAATTTCAGACAGAAATCATTCCAGATTTGCATTTTTGTCTTTTGGGAAAAGTGGTAGTCGATATCTGCGTCCGCTTTCCGAGGCGTCTCTCACCCTTGTTGCAGGAACGGTGGAACCCCCAAAGATCGTTCGGGCAATGACCCCGAGATTATATATTCCGCCGGTGTGCGGGGTGGCGGTGCCGCAAGAGAGGCTTATACCCTCCAAATTCGCTCGCGAAATCACACGGCGAATCAGCTCCGATATAACGTTGCGCGAAATTCTTTTTTTTTTCCTATTATATTCAACGATAAATTAAAAATTATCTTTTGTAAAGTGAAAAATATTATCACATATATATGTAAATGCAAAATAAACATCAATAATTTTATTTTAAAAATTATTACTCTGATATTTGAGATTTTTTAGATTTTCCACATACTTTATCTTTTTTTAGCGTAGAATTCTGCAGATTAGCGATATCGGCACATTCATTGAAAAAAAATATTTGAAAAACATAAAATTCTAACAACAATAATAATATAAAATAATCTCAGAATATTGTGTGTTCAGAGATAATTATTACTGCATTATTTGTCAACATTTCTTCAATTACTTTTGCGTTTTTATAATAATGAATCTTAATGAACTCTAAATCTTTTCCCATCTGGAAATCTACGCGCCTGCTGGCAGTTAATAGTTCTGAAACTGCATAAATGAAGTTCAAACAAAGCTAACGCGAGGATAATAAAAAAAATTCGCTCGAAATTTCTCTTTACCGGAATTCTCACGAGATCTTCATTCCGTTGCCTATGTTCTATTAGGGTTAAGAAATCCGCCACTTCCGAGGATGCAGGCGGTGCATTATCCGTGTCTCGCACGGAAAGGTTCTCTCGCTGGCAGTAGACCGAAGGGAGAGCAGCGGCGCAAAGGGACGAAAGGACGAGGGCGGAGGGCGGAGAGTAGAGCAGCCGGAATGGTGAAAGGGTGGAGGGGCAGAGAGAGAGAGGACTCCGCGCGCTTCGTCGGGGTGGTTGCCCTCGTCTGCGCTTTGTGGGAAATGGCCGCTCAATAACGCGTAGGTCCTCCTCGTCCGCCTCTGCTCACCCTCCCCTCGGCGAGGCAAGGGCCGATGCCCCAAAAGACAACCGTCGAACTACCCTTGTCCTACCCGTTCCGCCATCCCATCGAAAAGGTCAAACCTTGCCCTTCCTCTTTGTTCCTGCTCTCTGCGAGATCTGTTAAATCGTAGGGATAAAAAAGGCGATTAGTCGGAATCCAAGAAGCACCGCGAATAAGGTTCTTAAGATTCGAGGGAGGAAACGAGAAATAGATTCCAAACGCGGAGTGTAAAAACCGCTTCTTTAACGGCTGAGTTAACTCTCGCTCTGCGTTAAGTGTTTCAACATAATTTAAGCTATTCAATTATTACACATATACATATTGATTTATCTGTTAATTAACGATGCATTATTGCATCGCATGTATGAAAAGATCAATAAAAAGACACGCGGCGAAGATTTCGGAAACTGCAGATTCCTGATATGATCTCTGACAGCACAAGTTTGCTCGTTCTGCACAACGAGACGCAGCAAAATCTCTCGCTGCAAAAGAGAGGTAACGTGATCGATTTTCGGAAAAAGAACCGTTTGTTAAAATTAGAAAACCTGCAAGATTAAAATAAAGCGAAATATCGATTAATGCGCATTTCAACTCTGATTTCGATCTTTGCTGAAATATTATTTAAATCTGAAAGTACAAGTCTTGCAAATTTTACGAGTTGGAAGCGCAGGGGATCATCGCGCGCCAGTTTCCGGCGGAGGAGCGCGAGGACAGGTCCGTTTTATTTATTTTTTTTCCAGTCTCCGACGAGTTCTGCGACTGAGATCGATGGGTGCTAAAACCTATCGCGCGAAAACACGGGAGGAGAGGAGAGGAAGGGAAACGGATCACGGTGTGTATCGATCTCGCCCCTAGGGACTCGCGGTAGGATTAGGACGTCACGGTAGCCACCCACGACGAGGCGGCGAGTGCAGGAGCGGCGCGAGGACCTCATGGCCCTTGGCAACCGGTTGCCAGGAATCGCGCGCGCGCCTCTTCCTCGTCGTCTCGTCTCTCTCCGTGCCTCACCTCATCACACCTCATCGCCAAAGAGCCACATAACGTCGATAACGGAAAAGCGTTCTCGCGAACGAACCGACGATCGCGGTTGCTGGCGTATCTTTGGCTTCGCATAGATTCAAAGAAATTCGGCGGAAGGAAAATTTCCACTAAATTATTAGCGGACTGCTGAATACGATTGGCGCAAAATCGTACTTATAAGTTACACTTTACAATATGTTGTATCTATGATTTAGTATTTTTAAAAAATGCTGAAAAAAAATTAATGGGTTTTTCAAAAGAGACGTGTTTACATGTGTAAAATATAGGCATACTAAAAGATGAGAAATTAGATGGACAAATAGAATTGATAATTAAATTGATAAAATTTATTAAAGTTAAGAAGAATTGACGGAAAGCTATTCTGTAGAATACAGAATTCTTGAATTTCTGCACATCAAAGATTAATTTTAAAAATATAAAATATCTTTTCTTATCAATTTATATATCTATTTGTCAATCTCAATTCTTTGAAAATGTATAAATTAAAGCTAAAAAGTATTCATTTTGATGAATCTCAAAATTATGATCTTTTACTTGGAAAATGTAGTCCATCAGTTCCACCCAGAAATGGGTTCCTTCTAATTGACATTAATTCATCTGTCTTTTACAGAACGGCATCTCCAATAATCAGATTAATATCCTTGGAATTGATTTTCTCAAAAATAGCTGAAACAGGAGACCGTATTTAGAAACACATATTGAACAAATATCTCTGGAATTATCTATCTGCTTGAAAGAAACTATGCAGTAAATTCATCATTTTAACATCTCTTGTTTAACTGTAATATTAAAAAATATGTCAAAGTGTGAAAAAAAGAGGAGCCCGTTTCCTTTGACATCATACTAGCCTCAGTTACTCTTTCATATGTTACATTTTTAATATCACAAATCTGTATTTCACACATTCAGAAATATGCTCAAATACCAAAGAATCGTAATGAGTCCAAGTACAAAGGCAGTGAGATTCGCTCCTGCAACATCAAACATCTAGTGACGTAACTTACGCCACCCTCGCGACCTGCACACCCTTGTCGCGTCACACCCATCCTGCTTCCGCATACCACGCGCATATCCTCAGCCTAACCTAACCTAACCTAACTTGTATCACTTTCTTAGGTCGTTGATCCTATACGACCGCGCGCATGATTCAATGCTGTCGCTTATTTTTGCAATATATGATATCTCTCGTCGAAAAAAAGTACGTCATTTTTTACCTCATTAAATCCCGTAATCCGTACTTTGCATTTTATATACTTTTGACGCAACTTTAACTCGCCATAAAATACATAAAGTTAAGACATAAAACGCCATTGCTCGCTTTTATGATCATACACAGTAAACGGACATATTTTAAATAATTGAATAATAATGAAAAAAATGAAATATTTAATAGAGGCTTATGAAAGATATTAGTGAGATGCAATATGTACTCCGATATTTTTGAAAAATCGTCAGGATTTTCAGCGGGACATGTTTCGGTGAGATGTAGCGTGGATGTGTGGTGCTATCTAGTGGCAACGCGTTGTAGGTTCCACTTAATTTTCAGTAGTACAACTCAGTGTCGAGGGTGTCGAGGCAGAATAAATTTTTCATTTACAACAACGTTTACATTATAAACCGCTACAGTTTTTTATTTCTCTAACATTGCTGTTCAACATTGAATCGGACAAATCGTTCTCAGTGCGAACAAAATCTGTTACAAGTTGTCACTGTCAGTTTTCAGTAGTACAACTCAACATCATGGAAATTATTGAAGTAATTAATCCAAAGTTTTTAAATTGATAGTTGTCTATATATCACAGATAAAAATATAAATAATAAATGTTCGACCCCAAGTTTATTTTGTTATTTATCGTGTTTTAATTATTTTTCAATTTGTATTAAGATATGGTAAAACAAATATTTATATTTTACAATAAATATTTTCTCAAAACTCATTATTTCTCAAAACATTACTTAGTTTTCAAAATTAATTCAAAATTGGCCACTATTTAATTTAATCCTTTTTAGTATTTCATCGATGAATCGGATAGATTTTTAATTGCAATGAAATTTAAATGAAAATTGTTAAAGCTTGATGCCGACATGATTCTCTTATGCATATGTTCAGTTTTCTACTGAATAAAAATTCATTTCACGTTTGTTTTTTTTAATATGCCATGCAGGTGATCATATTAAATCATATAATTATGTGCAATTTACCTGAGTTCGAGTTCGCCGGTGCAAGATATGGCGGAAGACACATCGAGTGACAACCGGGAAGCGAAGAGACCTCAATTTGGAACGCGAAATTTGCCCCTTGATGGAAATGTCTTCCAACACAATGCATGGTATGATGTAGCTTCATATGCAATTGCAGATACGTTCAATTTGTTTGATGTTTTATGCAATACGAATACGGCATGCATGCTCTAACCTAAAAAAATTTGACACTTTAGAATCCAACATTTGATGATATAATTTAAGCTCAATAAATCTTTTCTTCTCTTTTTTTATTTATTCTTTACTTTATCTTTGCCACGTTTTATTTTAATTTATAGGTGTTTAGAGTTACAATTTAATTTGTTACTTATTACATGGTAAATAATTTATTTTGTAGAACTCTTATTCACTTGTGTGATCATCTGATAAAAATGAAAACATTGTCAAGTCTAAGTTGTTCTGCTTTTAATATACTTATTATTGAATATTAATTGCCTAACATTGACTTTTTAAATAGGGATAATGTTACATGGGATGAGGAACAAGAAAAGCTGGCACAGCAAAAAGTGGATGAGAATTCTATTGTTACACAATCATCTGAACAACTTTTGAAACATGATACTGAAGCAGATAAATATTGGGATAAGTTTTACGATATACATAACAATGGGTATGTAAAGTCTAAAAAATATCTTCAGTTAAATATAATATAATTTAAAATATTAATATATAATTTTTCAATTGAATTATTCGCTGAGATGTTACTTCAGAAATATTTCTAATTAAAACATTTATATACATATTGATTGTTACAGATTTTTCAAAGATAGGCATTGGTTACTAATTGAGTTTCCAGAATTAGCACCTAATACAGTTAAACAAGAGACTGAAAGACCCATGAGAGCTGCACTTACGGACAAAGATCAAAATCAGGGAGATAAACATATTAAAATTCTTAGTCTACCCTGCAAAGATGGTTGTAAAATATTGGAAATAGGCTGTGGCGTAGGAAATACCGTATTTCCTATACTAATGTACAATACAGACCCAAAACTGTTTGTATATTGTTGTGACTTTTCTGCGAAAGCCATTGATATACTGCAGCAAAATCCTGCTTACAATGTAAATAGGTAAAATACTTTAGAAATTGATTTAAAATTATCTAATTGAATGTAATTACATAAATTTTTCACACAATTCACAAGTTTAATTGCTTGCGATTTTAGGTGTAAAGCATTTGTTCTAGATGTAACTCAAGAAACATGGACGACTCCTTTTGAGCTTGAAAGTTTGGATATCATTGTTCTTATATTTGTATTATCTGCCATTCATCCTGATAAGTATGTTCTTGCCATATTATCAATAAATCTTATATTTGTTACATACTTTATTTTTTTATATTTTTATTTTTATTATTAACATTTTTATATTCTTTTATTTTTATAATATATATTTAAGAAAGACTAGATGTTAATATACACAACTTGTATCGTGTTGTTTTGCAGAATGCAGCACGTAGTGCGGCAAATACACAGATATCTAAAACCGGGTGGAATAGTTCTATTTCGCGATTACGGCAGATATGATTTAGCACAATTAAGATTTAAGAAAGGTAATTGTCTTGGAGAGAATTTTTATGCTCGTGGAGACGGCACCATGGTATACTTTTTCCAACAAGGTATGATTTCCTTTAAAATTTTAGTATAGCGTTTAAATCCTACCTGATTGTATATTACTATTGCCAAGTTTTCACAATTCTTTTCTTGCAAAATCATTGATATTCGATATTTGACGCTTCTAACGTTTTTCCATGAATCTCTGCAAATTAATTGTAGTCGACAAATAGAGTATTAATTGTATACAAAAATTTATCTTATTTCAGAGGATGTCAGAAAATTATTTACCGATAATGGCTTCAACGAAGAACAAAACTTCGTGGATAGAAGACTGCAAGTTAACAGGGGTAAACAATTGAGAATGTATAGAGTGTGGGTGCAGGCTAAATATCGAAAGGCATCCACGTAAATATCGCGTGTACTTGAAATTTTCACTGAAAAAAAAATGAAAGTACATTAAAAATCAAGAAACAGAATAATCGAGCACATGTGTATTTTTGTATACCACTTTCTTTCATGTACTTGCATATATATTAAAAATTGAAGCTCTTATTTAAATATAAGTCTTTAAATTTGAACTTGTTACTGCACATAATTAAGTAGTATACAAAGCTATATATGACACTTCAAAATTACAATAAATAAATAAAAAGAAATGTATTAATATATACAATTAAATCGATATATAGTTACAAATGTGGCGGGTTTTTTATAAAATTGTTTATCATTAAAAAAATTCGCATGCATAAACAAATATTTAAATATTGCTGATCAATATAAATTGAATTGTCATAAGAAATTTCTACGTACGTAAGATCGTAATTTTCACGTACGTAAGATCGCCAGATACTATTTTTAAAATTACATTTTTCTGTAACAGTTAGCAATTTGTAGTAAAATGTTTGATATGGTTTTGTTACCTTGGTGCATCGAGATAAGTGGTTCCTTACTGGTTGGAAATGAGACGAGGAACACGGATTGGATAGAACAGGTTGGTATAATATTAAAATAATTTAATTGCACAACTTGACAAATAGTCAAGATATCGAAGAGATCTTTGCATGTCTGCCGCCGCAGTTGCGGTCATGACGGCATCATTCTCTTCCTAAAATTATAATATAAATATTGCATGTGCATCTGTGAACAATAAAAATGCATCGCAATTAAAGCACGATTTAATTCGCGGACATTATTTACACTCTTGTAAATATTGGGTCGATCCAAAAGCTTAGTGTCGTTCTTCTCATTCATTTCTATCCTAAGCGAAATTTCAACATTGGTTAGTTTTTTTTTTAATTAAAACGTTTTTAAATTAAAACAGTTATTAATAAATATTATTTCAACATTCTAAAATTTTGACTTTATTCGACAAACATAATAAATCTTTGGTACCGACCCAATATTAACTTTTGATGCCCATAATACATTCTCATACGTAATTTAACATCGATCTTCCTCGAAAATGTCACAAGTAAATGCTACAACTAGCTAAAAATATGGCGAACATGAAAAGGTTTCATTTCGCGAATTTGTTACAAAGTGGTGTGAAAACGATACGGTGGGTGTACGGGCGGTAAGAATGCCAGCACGCGAGCTTCTTGGTCACATTTGAAGTTTATCTCTCTTCGCTAAACACTTTAAATACTTCTTTCTTAAAATCACTGGCCGTTCTTGGTCGATTCACACAAAAAGATCGAAACAAATATAATTCTCGCGAAGTTCCATTTTTTTACGCATGCAAAAATGATCCCTGTATTCGTTCATAATAACATTCATGCGACAATTGGCGTACAAACATGATGATTGCACCGAGATCATTTTTCGCATTTCTTCACGATGATCCTTAATAATAATAATGATTGAAATCATTTTATCGTTCAGATATTGTTTTACACGACAAATCTTATATTTGCTCCTAGGTTTGCAATGCTCGATGAACACAGATGATAAATTTGTGTTCTCTTTTATGATATCACGACATGTGATAGACAATATCTATGGATAAAATGTAAATTGTCATT